ACATGGGCATAGTAACAATATACAGTATCCATTTTAAGTATACTAAGCTCACTCCTTTGTAACAACTAGGGCAAAAATGTAATTAATTCTGAAAATCTTTTCAGGACCCCACCTTGATGTTTCGGGACCCCACTTTGGGTCCCGACCCCAACTTTGGGAAACACTGGTATAGACTCTTCATAGCCCAAAATGTGTGGTGAGCCCCTCGTGTTCCACCTGTGCACGTGAATGATTGACTGTAGAATCGGCCAATCAGCTCTGAGCTTCATTCTGACACCACAGCTGTGAAGCCGATCAGGTAACCTTTTATTTATTTGATATGCAGCGTTGGAAATGAGGGAAAAAAGATGGTTGTAGTGTTTTTTAACTTCACTAATTAAATACTAGTTAGAGTTGCATAATGACAGCTGAAGTTAAAAATTCAGATTGATAGCTTTGCAGAGACTAGGCTTGTGAATTTACTCCAAAGGGTTCACAAGTGGTACTTAATTTAATTTGAGTTAGGGTTAGGGGTGGGCCCGCAGATTAACCGGTTAGAAAACGCTTCACGACTCTGTTCTGACTTTTTAGAAATATGATTTTGCCTTTTTAGTTATTTTTGTGCCGTTTCTCAGTGTGAATGTTTGTTTATTTTCTACAACGTGGGCTCATAAGATTTGCATATCACTGCTTCCTGTTTTTATTTAGATGTAACGTTTTCAGGTTGTATTTAAACCGGAGGAGCACGCTCCCTGCGAGACTTCCATTCTCAGTTTTCGAGGGGGGGAACCTCAGAGACCTGTTTTGAGTTCTACCTGCGCACCACCTTCAAAAACCCACACACACACACACACACATGCCCTTTTGTCATTGCAGGAGCCCGGCTTGTTACATCATCCACAGAGAGGTTTATCAGCGACCGATCAGCTTCAACCTGAAAACTCTGAAAGGCTGTTTTGTCTTCCTGCAGCCTCAAACTCCCTGAACCCACAGATTACCTTCCAGCCGTGCGGATTTGTTTACCGCGGCCTGAATTTGCAAGTTTTCATTGTAGCAGCCAACCGTCTCTGCGGGGAAAGGTGCCCCGGTGCCAGAGGAGTTTCACTCTAATCCAGGTGTTTGTTTAACCAACTGTTGGGTTTATTTATTCAGTCGGGGTCCTGAACAAATGAAACCAGTGTGTTATTAGATAAGAGTGCTTGTGATGCTATCGGTTAATTCTTTTGACAAATGAGTGTTCAGATCAGTATTTATAGAGCTGCTCTGCCTCTATTCATCCCATTTACTGAGTGTAAAARCTACATATTTTACTTTTCATAAGGAATAAAAGTCATCTAACCCTCATAATCTGTAAGAAACAAGCAGGAATCTGTACATTTAGAAAAAAAACTGGTCACGTGGATTATTTTAGGACATGTGTTTTAAAATCCATTGTATAAATTGCAAAGAAATGCATAAAATTATTTTCACAGGAAGGACTGTTGCACCTTTTCAATTGTGCAATAGTTACAATAAGTCTGTTTAAACTTCTGTCCATATGAGGGGAACTTAAAAAGTCATGAAGTGTAAAATTGAACAGAAACATCACTGAAAAAAAAAGGAAATAAAATAAAAAACGAGAGTTTGCGTGCAGCCCGTTAGAGACRAGCCTGTTTGCATAATTAGGTCCTAAATAAAAGCAGAGATTTTTTAACTTCCTGGCTCGAGACRTGAAGGTTTCATTTAGGCAAAGATGCTCCGCTTATTTTCAGTTATTTTTTATTCTGGCAGATTAAACGAGGGGTGTTTAACATATGTTGCTTATTGCATCCTTTTTAACGTTTCACAGCTGCTTTCTTATCTGCTCGTAGTTCGGCGCTAACACCGTTCTGCAAAGTAGGGGGACCAAAGTCTGACTGAAGAGGGGGATTTTTTTTCCTTCCCCCTTCTGTGGTGGGTATTAGAAGTTTACACAAGGAAGGATGAAGGAGTTTAGCACAGCAAAGCTCACTGGATGTATTCCCAGACCACACAGCCACAAAATGTTCCAAAACAGTTGAAATATGGGGGGAAACTGAGGGTTCACGGTGCCTTTTGATGGTGCAGCGGTTATCGCAACAGTCTCCCCCCAAGACCACTGCAGCTGCAATTAAAGGGAGTGTTAATGATGAACATGCAATGCATTTAAAAGACACATTTCTGAGGAGAAAACAAAAACAACTACTCAAATGACACAATTTTCTCTGCCTAACTGGATCCTGGTTTCGAGTGTCATTTACCAGCCAGACATGATTTCCATTAGAGTTGGAGGCAATTAAGAGCAAACTCCTCTGGGCATCAACAAAGGCAGGAGAGGCGGTGTTTGTCAGCTGAGAGGCTTTTAAAAAGCTCCAGATTCCTGAGAGAAGAGACTGTGGCTGAGTAAACAGATGGATAATTCAGGAAACACATTTAACTTCAGGCAGGCAACAAAACTTTTTGATAATTAAAGGCTTGGCCTTCCTTGGAGGAATGCATATCATCCGCTGCCTTTAATGGCAGTTTTAATCCAAGATGTCCGCCACAGCAACATTGCATTATTTGTTAGAGGATTCTCAGCTACCACAAAAACTTTACCTCAGTAGCTGCAATTTAGTGTGAGTCAGAGCTGTTTATGTGCTGGCAAACAAATATTATCTGTAGCAGCCATCTTGAAAGGTTGACTAATCTGAATATTTTATTACAATTTTTGATTCATGAGATATTTTGCTAACAGAGTTGACTTCAGTAGCTGATGGTCAGTTTACTGCCTAATGCCGGCACACTGTAATGTTTCAGACAGCTCATACCAACGTCTAAATTACTAATAAGTTATTTATTTGATCAAATCGTTAGCATTACAGTATAGTTTTTTTTCCAGTTTAAAATAAATTTTTCATCAGTTGTCTAAAAGCATTACAGTGTGACAGGGCTTTTAGAGCTCATGTGTCAAACTCAAAACCTGCTGGCCACATCTGGCCCATTTTCTGTGGCCTGCGGGGACTTCAAAGATTTATTAATGCACATATATCAAACTTAAGGTCTGCGGGCCAAATGTAGCCATCCACGAGGCCTGCAAGAGCTTCAAAGTTTATTAATGCAAATGTATCAAACTTAAGGTCTGCAGGCCAAATGCAGTCAGCTTCAACATTATATGTAGCCCAGGAGAGCTTCAAAGATGTATCAGTGTTTTAAAATAACCAGCTTTAAAGCTAGCATTGACCATAAACTACATCTTCTATAACGCACGTCGATTATTTTACCCAGTAAATGACAGCATCCCAACACTAGGAGGAGGTGCACAGGGTTCAAAAGTATAGCTGGCAAAATTCACCATGTAAAATTTCTATTTCCCTGCATTTTTGCCAACTTTACTGTGGCCCAGTTGTACTGGGAAGTGAGAATTTCCCACTTACAAGTCCTGAATTTAAACTGGGATGTCTCTCCAGTGGGAATTCCTTGTTGGAAAGTGGTTGAGTTTAGAATTCAAGATGGCAGCTACTCACCACAACTCAATGAGTAAAACTTTTACTTTTATCGTATTTCTGTATTTTTTAGTTCACATTYAGTCAGTCGTACTTGTAGCACTTTTCAGTGTTTAACAGAGGATGTGTTAAAACACTGTTTCTGTGCAGGAAATACCAGGCAGAGCTCAGTTACTGTTTGTTAGTTGTGCTCAGGCGCAGCAATGAGACGAGGGATGTTTAAGGTAACAACTGGCCCTTTGAGAACCACCTTGGTGCTTGTGTGGCCCTCGGTTAAAATGAGTTTGACATCTCTGGCTCAGTGTTGAGGTTGAGTCTGAGCTACTATCACACTGAGTTTTGGCTGTTTTTATGTTCAATACGGTCACTTAGCTGTGACGTCCATCTTGAACGTGATTAACTTCAAATGTCAATCAGCTGTAGATGCTTATCTACTGATAACTTTGTGAAAATTTAATAAAATTCATCCGCAGTTTCGTAAGATATTATGATAATAATGCAGTCAAACACAAACATGGGCAAAAACATTATCAGTTCAGTGGTGAGCGATGCATTTAACCTGCTTAACAAAGAAGAAGAGTGTCTGGAACTTCAGCCAGGCCTCTCCATCAGCAGCACACTCCATCGATGGGCCAATCGCAAGATCCTGGCCTGCCTCCCAGCCAGTCCTGCTAATTAGTCCCCCCTCTTCTGAGCTAATTGGCTTATAAAAAATGAGGCTGGCCTCTTCACCCAGCCCGAGTGTTGTGACACCAAACGGCAGCGAGGAGGAAGAGGCGCGGCGACACTCAGCGAGAACCTCTTCTCCTCCGCCGTTAGTTTCCCTGTCAGGAGGGCTGCCTCGGCTGTGACACTCAAACTGCAGCCGGAGGCTGACTTCTGGATTAATCTGTCCTCGTTAACAACCAGATAATCGGGGGCAAACTGCAYGCGGATTATTTAACTTCTACTGCTACTTTACATGCAGATCATCATGTTGATGCAGATTGTTTTTTAAATAAACTCAACRACATCTTGAATCATTCATTACCGATGCTTGCCGCCAAAAATAAATGATTGTTTTTGCTCACGTCTGTAAATATTTGTCTTTACTGTTAGCAAAATATCTCATGAATCACTTTAATTAAACTTTCAGAAACCAACCATTCAGTTGACGTCAAAATCCGTTCAAAATGGCCGCCACCGGAAAGTAATTAGCAAATGCAAAAATGGTTTCACAGTTCCTGTGATAACATTTGGTCTTTGATTTTGGTAGGTGACATGCATTCGTTCAAAGAAATGATTTAGATTTTTATTTTAAAACACTCCAATAAAGGCTTTCTAAGAGGGAGCAAAGTAAAACAAATAACTGGAGGGTTTAAGAAAATCGTGTCGCTCTTTATCACTTGTATTAACCACAGATGTTTCTTGCCTTGTTTCCTGTCTGCCTACGTGGTTAATCAAGGAAATGGAAACATAATTATGAAAGATAAAAAGCAGAAGTGTCTGAGACAGTTGTGAAAAGAAAAGAAAAGAGAACGCACAAACTAAAACTTGGAGGCTTTTGCTTCAGTTTTTAATGAAATATGCATGCTCATAAGATCAAAGCAGGACACATTTGGGTCAAATTATAATAGAACAAGATAAAAATAGATTAAGACATAAAAAAAATAATCGTTTCAAAGCCTTGCACGTCAAACAAAACGTGTTTTACTTTGCCATATCTCCAATTAGACCCCATAAAGTTGAAATAAAATGTTAATAATTTGCTCCTGCGGAGGACTCTGGTTGTGAATGGGTGCCTTCCTTTAGGTCCCGCCTTTTCCGGTATCACAGTCCAATCAGCGGCGCCGCTGAGACTCGGTGGGACGTAACGTCAGCTGCCGTCGTGTCTGGATTGGAATGTTACCGACTAACAATCGGAACAACTGAGCACTCGGTAATTGGACGCCAGGATCAAGGAATTCCTCTTCTTTTTTTTTTTTTTTTGGAACAATTTCTCCGATATTAACTCCGCCGGAGGTTCTCCTCGCGCCGACCGGACAACTTCGGCCGCTTCGTGTCCCTCCGCCGATGAGGTTTTTCATTTTGTGTCGGTTCGCTTGACGATTATGTGCGGCGGAGGYGATAAATAAGGAGAGAAATGCAGGGATTTGTCAGGTTACAGTAGGACCGCCGAGCTGCTCCCCCTGTGTCTCTGCTCCCCCACTCCTCACAGGGCGACCATGGAGAGGTAAAAAAAAAAGAGAGAGAGAAAAGGGGGACTAAATTCAACCCGAGGCTTTTGAGGTAGGAGCGCGGAGGGGTTCACTCTGCCTGCCCGGTGTTTAAACATCCGAACCGGGCTGTACCTTGACGTCTGGGAGAGCCTCGGGGACCGCTGCTCGCCTGAGAAGAAGAGGAGAGTTTCCAGGCGGCTGTGGGAGAGTTTCCTGTCCGGTTCGAGCCGGCTGAATGAGCGGAAAGAGTCCCAGCGTGTGATTGTGTCCGAAGGGGTCCGTGGAGCACCGAAGCCCCCCTCCGGCTGACATGCTGAAACTCCACAGGAGAGGGAGGAAGGGACGAGGCGTCTAAACATCGCCCACATGCGCTGGATCAATCGCTGGATTTCGGAACAGAACACGCAGAAGGGGGGCCGGGGATCCGTGGAAGCTGCCGGAGGATGGAGCGGTGCAGCCGGGGCTGGTGAGAGCCGAACTTGGGGCCACTTGACCTCCAGTCTTATTCCCGAACAACTCGCCTCTGTTCCCAGGACACATGCAGGCCAAAAAACGCTACCTGATCCTGGTCTCCGCCGGTGCGTGTCTGGTGCTTCTCTTCTACCTCGGAGGGGTGCAGCTTCCAGCGGCCAGGAGGAGCCGGCATGAGCGCAGCAGGAACGGGTACCGGTCGGATCAGCCCTGGCCCCACTACTCCGACCCGTTACAGGCGTTCCTGCCCTGGGATCAGACCGACACCGAGGACTACAACCTGCACATTTCTCCCCGGCAGAAGAGGGACGTCAACAGGAGTGTTTACAAAGGTAAACGGTGCCGCATGGACTCGTGTTTTGACTTCTCTCTGTGCCAGAGGAACGGGTTCAAAGTTTATGTTTACCCCCAGCAGAAGGGGGACAAGATCTCAGAGAGTTATCAGAACATTTTATCCATCATCGAGGGCTCCAGGTTTTACACCTCAGACCCCGGACAGGCGTGCCTGTTCGTCCTGAGTTTAGACACTCTGGACCGGGACCAGCTGTCCCCCCAGTACGTCCACAACCTGAAGACCAAGGTCCAGAGCCTGCCTCTGTGGAACGACGGCAGGAACCACCTCATATTTAACTTGTACTCGGGGACGTGGCCGGACTACACGGAAGACCTGGGCTTCGACATCGGCCAGGCCATGTTGGCCAAGGCCAGCATCAGCACCGAGAACTTCCGGCCCAGCTTCGACGTGTCCATCCCGCTGTTCTCCAAGGACCACCCGAGGACCGGCGGGGAGAGGGGCTTCCTCAAATACAACTCCATCCCGCCGTTCAGAAAGTACATGCTGGTGTTCAAGGGGAAACGCTACCTGACAGGCATCGGCTCGGACGCACGGAATGCCTTATATCACGTCCACAACGGGGAGGACGTGGTGCTGCTCACCACCTGCAAGCACGGCAAGGACTGGCAGAAGCACAAAGACGCAAGGTGTGACAAGGACAACGCAGAGTATGACAAGTAAGTGTTTGTTAAACGTGATTATTTTTAAGTTTTACGCACGAAGTCTGTGCGTAAAAGTGTCTTGAACGCAACCAAAAGCGCACAGGACACCTGTTTGCCTGCGATCTATTCAGAAGATGCTGTGTAGAAACAGAAACAAATTAATTACAAATCCAATGTAACATTATAAACATAAATATTAATGTTATAAAATCTGCATATTTACTGTACCGATGGTGCCTTTCTAGTTGGGTACAAATGTACCCCCATATCATCAGAGAGGCAGGTTTGACAGACTGGATGGTCCCTCTCCTCATTTAACTTTGGCCCAAATAAAATGGCAACATCACTCGATGGTTTTCACAGATTGTTTGTTTGTTTGTTTATTTGTGTGAAAGTTGAACCGGGTTTTGTGGAGAACTCATCTGAGCTCATGAGGTGACGTCAAAAACAACCAGACCTGTTTTTAACGTGAAGTCTGCTATGGACCTAAAAGTTGAGCGGTTTTACTTTATTCGGCTTTGTAAAGTCGCAGAAAAATTCCTCCAGATTCGTGAAATATTTTGATAAAAACGGGTTTAAAATGTTTTTGATGCAGTTTATTGCCGACTGGTGAACCTCTGCCCATTACTAACCTGTTGCCAGTTAACCTAACAAGCTGTAAAACGCTCCTCCTGCATCTTTTGCTTGTCTTTGTTCCGTTTAAAAAAAAAAAGATGATATATGGGAAAAACAAATTCCAACAGGTCACGGCCCACAGTCCCTTTTATGTTCCCCCCTCCACCCTGACGTCTCTTGATCCCTCCCCAGCTGGCCCGTGAGCTCCCCTGGACATCCCCTTCCCTCCCCCACTCTTCCTCCTCTTCCCATGGAGGAATTCACCTTCCTCAAACACACACCCCCCCACACACACACACACACAAGCTCCTCTCCCTGGGAGCACCGCAGCCTTTCACACAGATATGCACGGGCACGTTTGATTTGCACCTTGTATTTAGTGCAAATTAAGTGAAAGTCAACTGTGGGAGGTTTATTTTTTTTTTTTTTTTGCTTCCAAATGATTATCCACCCAAAGGTGCATGCTGCGTAGTTTATGTAAGCTGCAGCGTGTAACACCTCTGATTGAATTATAACGTGATTTACTGCAAATAAATCAGTCATAGGGGTTAATTTTCACTTTAATTTGCAGGCATTAGTGGCATCATTTGTGTTTAGCCCCCAGGGACAGTCAATTACTTCTAATTTTAGAAGTCTTGGTTTTGTCAAGGTGGTAATTAATGCTTCCCCCTCCTGAGATCAGCAGCTGTAAATGCCTGGTGTGTTTTAATATAGAGGGTGGTGTTGTCTCGGGTTCTTGTTGGTGGATTTACGAGGTGAACCCGGCTGTCAGGTTCAGTTTGTCTCTGAGTGACATCAGTTTGATCTGCTTTCATCCACCTGTGTGGATCCTGGATAAACTGGAGGCTTGTGCTTGTCGTTTCTTACTGGGTGTGTTTTGTGTAACTTGTGTCGAGGTGAAAGGGAACGCTCTCATTTCAGCACATTAAGTCAGGAAGACGGAAAGAATGGAGCTTCAGGGGAAGAGAAGGGTTTTTTTTTAATGTTGCGTTGAGTCGAAGCAACTTTCTATGAACTTCAAATGAACCCAAGGACCTCCAGCGCGTCGCAGACCGGCTGCTAAAGTGGAGGAAGAGTTGGAACAAAACTTCACAAGCACGCACTTGTCTGTTCGTTCGTTACCCTTTTTCCTCCCACTCCTCCTAAACGTTCACTCTCGGCCTCTCCAGCCCCTCCGGACGCCTCGGGCTCGATGTCACCTGGAGAGATGTCATCCATTATCTGACATTCCAGTCGTCTCTGGGCGGCCCACCTCTGCTCCACTCGTGGCTCTCCCTCCCAGCGGATCAGGCCTCGCTTTATTTTCTCTCCCCGCAGTTCAGCTCCGTCTCTGGGACGTCTCGGAATCGGATCGTTGATGTGAAATCTGAGGTTTTTTGCTGCCTCCTCTTTCCACCACGGCATGTTTTTTTTTTTTTTTTTTTTTTTTTTTTACAGTTGATCCACTTTGATCAATATCACTTCCTGTTCGTCTTTTCATTTCCAGGATCAGTGCCGTGTTCAGTTTCAGCCTCGGCAACAAAAAAATGTTCAGAAAATCTGGTATTTTCTACGCAGCATGACTGTTAAGCAAAAAGGTTCTAATTACTGCGCTGTGGTCCTCAGTGGTTTGATTAGAAACACGTTTCCAGCATTACAATAGATTTAAATCTCATGCAACTTGTTTAACTGTTAAAAGTGCAGAACATTTTATTTCAGTTCGTCCCAGTAGATACCTTTATATTCTGTTTTGGGTCATGCTTTTCAACCCGTTCAGTTTTCTCTATTTTCTATGACGTTTTCTGAACCWTTRCCTCATTATATTTGCGACTGAACTGTCAAGAAGTGGGGYGGGTTGTGAAGCTCCTAGTTTGAATTTAAAGAGACAGCCTCAAAACGAGTTGATCTGAGACGCCTCTCAGAGAAGAGGTGAAAGAGGGGCTTGTGGAGTTACGATAGCCGTGTTTACATCCAATTTTAATTTGAAATTTGAGCAATTTTTTTAAATTTCGCAAAAAGGAAAAATGCGAATCAGACGCGTTTCAACTGGCTTGAAGCGWATCAGTTACGTCAGATGCTTGCTTGTAGTAAACAGGAAGTAAAAGTCATCTCAGGAAAATGTAGGGAAGTTATCAGGAACGTGTTGCTACTATAGGGAAAGTTGTAATTATTCTGTCATATCAGCTAGTTTTGGCGATGTTACTGCTGTCTGGAGACGTAGAGAGAGAAATGCAATTCTTTTCACATTACGGGAAAAACTGAGAAGAAGCCGATAGCTGGAGGAGGGTCCTGCTGCCGACAGACAGCAGGAACAGCTGATCAACCATGGCTGTGTCCAAAACAGCAGGACRGGTCCTCCGAAGGCCGAATTTGTCGGMCGCATACGTCACAGCGCCGCGACGAAGGACGTCCAAAACCGAAGACTCCTCCGATGCGGCCGACAAATACGTCGTTCCTTTTCCTCGATTTGAAGGACAGGTCTGATGGATCCTTCCCAGCCCAGCATATCCCATAATGCATTGCGGCTCGACCAGAGATTTTTTTAAGCTTAGTAATGGCGGACGAAGCGAGAGAAAAGAATACGTTTTAAATAAAAATATGGCGACATAAAAATTAAATTTTTTTGGCGGTTGTAATTCTAATACTTTTATCATTTGTATGGACATGTTTTTAAATATTATTTTTGTCATAAAAAATGCGAAATAAACATGAACCTACAGCGGGTCAATTACTTCTTCAAATGATACCCTAAGTTAATTTTGTTGTTTTGTGACATTAATAATGCTAATATATAGATATTTTTCTAATTTTGATTTAAGTTTGCTTGTTTAGCGTCGTCACAGTTGCTAGGTGACAAGACGTACACCGGGTTAAGGAGGGGAGGCTAGACCGTCCAAATTCACAGCCTCTGTTTTTCCGGTCTTCCCGGTCTACCAAGGACCCGGCCCACCTCGAACGGTAGTCTGGGTCCTCCGGAGGACCCGGCCTGTCGTTTTGGACACAGCACATGTGAGGTAAATGTTCGCTACATCAGAACTTATTCTGCAAATGTGTTTCCATCTCTCCTCTTGCGCGTAAACTCAAATGCAAAAACCATCTCAAGCGAGCGTATCAAGTTTTTTGCGAATTAGAGTAMGTTTTTTTTTCGAATCGTGCCGTTTCCATTCACCTTTTCTGATGCGATACTTCAAAATGCACAAAAAAAAAGATGGAAACATGGTTAATAAGGAGGAATTCAAACCAAAACATTGCAGTTCCACTTTATATAGACCCCAACCTGAATAGTGAAAAAGAAGGATTTAAAAGCATCATATGTCCCCTTTTAAACCTGTGCTCAAGAAGCCCAATCTACGTTTGACCAATACATTTAAAGCCTTTGCTCCTGGTGAGATTCTGTAACCTGCTTTAAAATGAATCGAAACAATTCCTTTTTTAATCTGATTTAAAGCCCTTTGGCTGCCGACCCACACGCTGCAGAAAGCCTGACGCAGAGAGCTCTCTCAGGTAAATGGATCGACGGCGCAGCCAGGAGCCGGGCGGCGTTTGCTGGTGCTTCAGTTCCAGGAGCTCAGCAGCGGGGTGTGGTGGTGGTGGTGGTGGTGGTGGGGGGTGCTGACAATGCCTTGCAGGGACGCTGTGCTGCAGACTCAGGAATGCACATATGTGTCAGAGCAGCTGTTAGCGGTTCAACGTGGTGCTCTGCCAAGGCTGCAGTGTACATACCTAGTCGCTCATTTTGTGTGTAACTCAATGCACGCTTTGATTGCAGAGAGGAATAGATGCAATAAAGCCCACGACGAAGCCACAGCCACCTGYCAGCGTTTAGCACCCATATTCATAAGCAGTGTCATTACACGCAGTTGTTCTCTCCAGTTCCAAAGGAACGTATAGCTGCAGGACGGACTGGAATAGATGTACCTGAACTCACCACGCTCCATACATTTACCCAATTGATTTTCTTTGCTGTAATAGCTTCCAATTGGAGTCACTCTGGTCCACTTCCATGGCCAAGCACCGATGAAAGGGCCTATTCACTGTGACATTATCCACTGAGTTTTCAGAGCTGCTGACAATAATCCTGGGAGAGGACAGTGGAAGGCTATTACGGGCTCTACAATTGAAAAAAAATGTATGTAAGTTGGCAGAAATCCTAGGTCTTGTGCTGACTAAACCTCTTTCACTGGAGTGCTTCCTACAGGGAATTAAATATTTATTTTTAAATACAAAATCATCCTCTATAAAACACAATTTTTTGTCTTGCAATCAATTTCAGTCRTGCTTTATATCACAGTAGTAGACACACATGTAGGTCAGCATTGCCTCAACGGCGCCAGAGGTCCGTGCTCCTTTAGCTGGCAGATAATCCTGCAGAAATCAAAAGTGCGTTCTTGAATAATATCACAAGTCAATCACTCAGAGGG